ACAATACAACGGCTTTAAGAAATTTAAAGTTCCGATTAAAAAAGAAATGAAAAAAATCAAGTGGTGAAATTAGTAATCGTGTTCGATGTAGGGGTAAAAAGGTAAATAAACGCCGCGAAGAAGACGGAGTGATAACCCGAAGCGGTTTAGATTACATACAGGATCATTTTTCGGCCCATTACGTAATTTTAACGAGCCAAAGCCCAATATACGTAAGTGTTTTAAAAAACAATTAATATCATATACGACTAAGATATTCTATAAAATTAGTTATGTAACTAATCTCTTGACTAAATTAATGGGAAAGTGAAATTTTGTTTTTCTTCTGAATTTTCGTTTCTTTCATCTTAAACATTTTATATGTTATTAACGCTAACTTTAAGTTATAATCAAGTATTAAAAGACTTGTCCCATATGTATTATTGTCAAAGCGATTATGACTATTTATTTTTGTGCTCACACATGAGATGTTGTTCGAATGGTGGCGCAGCCACAATTATGATATTAGAGCATGATGATCAACCACTATTGCTAGAGTTAGGGTCCTAAAATTATTTTATTATTTTTAACTTTAGCCAACCCATTTTTGAGGTGCTTAAAATGCTAAAATTAGTAACTAAAGTTTGAGTTTCTAAAATTATTTAATTATTTTTAATCCTAAGCAATCTATTAAAAAATCTACTAATAACTAACATTGATCATGCTCTTAATAGCCGTGGATGAGGCTTATGTGCTGTGAATACGTGACTATTAAATCACATGAACATATATCGTGCTAAACTGATAATATGTAATTACAAAAATGATTCATATTAATTTCATGTGAATCATGTATAATGATCTAGTCCAGCTTGATCAAATTAGTCACTTGTATAATTGAACGTCCTAACAAAAGAACAAAATTTGAAGTGAAGCTAATCAATGGAAACAAAAAAAATGATTTCCAAATCTAGAAAAAACATGAATGGAAACTACATATAGCTTTTTAATTGTTACAAAAAAATTACCAACCAACTAAAACATGCAAAATAACCTAATTTTATTTGTAGTGGAGCTCACACAAGTTCGGTAACGGAGAGCTAGACGCATATTCATTCTCTTTGCCAAACTTGAATAATCCACATTACTGAACTGGCAATAATAACTATGAGGTGTAAATTTAAATTTCACATGTGTTGCTAAAAAAAGTGTCAGAAGATAATTAATCAGGAAAATTCGATCCAGATAATATTCTGGTCTGAACACGGGAAATCAATTATTTAGTTTGATAATACACTAATAGTCCTTACAATAGAATCAATCAATCAATTTAAACACTAATCCAAAAAGATACAATAATTACTTCCCCCTCCTCTCTTTTTCCAAGAAGTTTTCAAAAAGAAACAATAATAGTTTACCATCTCACGTCTTCGTCCACGCTCATTCTTTTTCGTTGCTCTATTATA